TTGACTTCCTCCTTGTCCTGTGAACTTTTGCTTGTTTTCCCTGCAGAACTTGAACGCTAAACGAAGAAGGCCCTGGTCTAGCAGATCTGATACAACATGGCTTGAACAGCAGTGCAATCTGCATCCCAAGGATGTGTGTGCATTACAACTTTGCCTAAATGGCATTTTCACATCACACATTTATCAAGCCTAACACTGCACACATACTATTTTTAAGCAATTTGTTTATATTCCACTCATATTGTATCTTGCTTTACTTAGGAGATTCTGCTCCTCGTGAAAGGTCCAAAGAACTCTCCTGTCTTTGTCTTTGTTCAAAGACTACATTTCCCCAGCATTTAAATCACTTTTTCTGTTAAAATGCCTCTGTTCTCTGAGCTCATGCTTCTAACATTTCTGCAATAGCAACGTGTGCTGTAGTTTTAGGTAGTTTCTTCTTCTGATGCTCTTTTTATATTGGTCTTTATTCAAAATAAATAGTACAGGACAAAAGAAATTGCACTGTGGGGGAAAGAGTTGCGTTATTACAAATAAATGAGTCACACTGATGTTCATCTACAATATTGTTTTGTTCCACATATAGAGAGAAACACGATAGCCTACAAAAAATTAATTTCCTTGCCTAAATGGATGCCATGTATATATATCAACATTTCTTTGCTGACACAAGCATTCATTTGAGAATAAAAACAACTTATCAGTCTATTTAGTTGATCTCTAAGAGGCCTCTCAATAAAATCTTGGATACCTCATGCACTCATGTTTGAGCATCATTCAGAGGAAGATAAGACTTAATCACTTAAGCAGATTGAGTAAACAATGGTGTGGACAGTCAGCATTTCTGCCTCAAGCCTACACAGTTGTTGCAGTCGTTGTTCAGGACTTTGAGTCACCCTCACTTGGATTGTTTCTAGCCAGGGACACCAGATCTCCACCTGGAAGTTGCTTCCTCAGGGCACCACAGCCCCTTCTTCCTAACCACTGATACCCCATCTTCGTGCAGTCTCCTACCACCACTGCTGCTCTGAAAGGTTTGAAGCCCCCTCCTAAGACTAGCAGAAAGATTTCTTGTGTTTTGGCTTCATCCTGCTTGCCCTCAGCCTGATCCACCACTGAAGTGCAGCTGAGAGATTCTTGGAAATGGAATCCAGCCTTTTGGCCAAAAGAGATTCACCACTCTTGGTCTGGTTGAAATTTACTGCTAGTATAAAACAGGGAGGAACAACAGCAGTTGAAATGGCACATCTTCCTAATATGTATATTACAGACTGATCTCAGGAGTGGCAGTTAAATGTAGAACAGTGCAGAAGTCAGTTACATCTGGTTCTGGTGTGGGGAAGTTTCTGAGACAGATTGTAAACATTTAATAGTATCAGGGAAAAAAATGTATTTCCAGCAATGAAAAGGGAACGTTTTCTACAACTTAACTAATGTGAAAACAATGCTAGGGGAAAAGGGAACTTATGCAGCCATGGAAAGTACGCAAACCAAGTTTGTCCCCTGTATTTGGAGAGTGGCTCTCTAAGGGTGGCAGCTGGAGGCTTCCAGTCAGGCCTGAGTTTGGGCATTGATAAACTGGGTGGGCCTGGTAGAAATGGAAGAACATTCTGGCTTCATCAAGGCATTTTCACTTCTCTGACTCTTTCTGTAATGCATCTTTCCCTTCCTGAACACCAAAAGTGTTTGTACTGCATTATCTTTCCATTCCCCATTCAGTTTGTTTCTTTAAATGCTTGGCTTTTTTAATGATAAAAGGGTATGATGTGTAATAGATGGACTAAACTTCATGTGTTTTAATACTTCTAACTTACTTGTTTATATTTTTTCCATCTCTTAGAACATTGATATCACTAATTTCAGCAGCAGTTGGAATGATGGGTTGGCTTTCTGTGCTGTCCTCCATACTTACCTCCCAGCTCATATCCCCTATCAGGAGCTGAACAGTCAGGACAAGGTACAGTGTGATCATCAGCTGTGTCAGAATGGGGCTGGAGAAGAGAGTTTTCATCAGATCGGTCACTTGGCTCACATTTTCCTACACACTTTCAGCAGCATGCTGTGAATACAGGCAATGAGTCTTTATAGGAAGTTGTTCACATAATAGGTGCGCTCTCGTGCTCACTCTCGCGTGCTCTCTGTCTCTCTCTCTCTCTAGTGTGCCATAGGTTTATTTAAGTGTTTTGCTTGTGTGAATTATTGAAGTGGATGGGGCTGGTTAATGGCAGCATTGCAAAAATAAGCCCAAGGCGCCAAATACATGCAGATGCACGTGCGTGGGCACGCACTCACAAAAGGTTTTGCTTCCATTCTTTGCTTAACTGCCCCATAGCATTATATCTTGAACACACTGCAGGTCGCCTTAACTACCGCTTATTAAAACAAAAGCTCCAGTTTTAGACATAATCCTAGCCTGCAGTTAACAGAAACTGGAAGCAAAAGCTTCTGACCTCATAGTTAGACGGGGAGGGGAGGGGAAGAGAGGGGAAGTGGTAAGGGTAAATCTTAGTAAGTTGTACATCTGGCTGTAAGTTGTGACAAGAGGCAAAATTGTGCAAGGTAGAGTTTGTCTGGTGCTCCTTGTTGGCTGTGTGCACCTTTGTGTTGATTGATGCGTTCCCTTTGGTACTGCAATACAGATGGAATTACAGACAGGTGGTAAAAGGGGAAAAGGCTTGATAACACACCGCAGCCTGGGGGTGTGGCTCACATAATTAAAAATAGATTTAAAAAGATATATGGATGCCCACTGGCCTCCATTTTTGAGACCTCGTGGAGAACAGGTGAAGTTCCAGAGGACTGGAGGGTGGCATCAGTGGTCCCAAAAGGGTAGTAGAAAGGACATGGGGAATTATAGACCGGTTAGCCTTACGTCCATTGTAGGGAAAACAATGGAAAGGCTCATAATAGAGAGAGATCTAGTGATGCTAGATAGGGAAGGGAGGCTGACAGCCACACAACACGGCTTCCGCAAAAATAGGTCCTGCCAGACAAACCTTGTGGAATTCTACAACAAGATTTCAAGACAGCTAGATGGAGGGATGCAGTGGATCTGGTATACCTGGATTTCAGCAAGGCCTTTGACAAAGTGCCCCATGAT